TGCACCGATAGGCCCACAAGCCTTCGGGTAGCTCGTCGACCCATGCCCCCTTTTTTTCCCCTACTCGCCGTTTCAGCTCGGCCACCACAGCCTTGTTCATCGCCTCAACTTGACCGTTCGTCTGAGGGTGTTCGACCGAGCTGGTAACATGTCTGATCCCCAACCCCTTGAAGAACTCGGCAAGCTTTTTATCTATGAACTGTCGGCCACTATCTGTGATGACCGTGTGCGGGAGGCCGAAGCGGCATACCAATTTCCAGCAGAATTTCTGGACCTGGGCGGCCGTTATGGTTGCTAGAGGTTCGACCTCTACCCACTTAGTGAAGTAGTCGACCGCTACCAAAAAGAATTTCTTCTGGGCCCGACCTATGGGAAATGGTCCTACGATATCCATTCCCCATTGGGCGAACGGCCAGGGCGACACGATCGAGTGCAAAGTGTGGGGGTGCAGATGAGTATTGGCGTACGCTTGGCAACTGAGGCATTTTTGGACGAACGTCTTTGTATCAGCTTCCAGGGTCGGCCAATAGTAGCCTGCTCTTGTGACTCGGGCCTTTAGCGTCCGTCAACCTGTGTGGAACCCGCAAATGCCGTTGTGCAGTTCGTCCATCACATAGCGCGCCTCTTCCTTCCCTAGGCACTTAAGAAGGGGGGTGGAGAACCCCCTCCTATACAAGCTATCCCCTATCAGCAGGTAGCGTGCGGTCCTCTTTGCCTCGCTGGGTGTGACGGGCCGTCCGGTGTCCTGTCGGGACATTATTTCTCGGACCTCAGATCGCCAATCCTCCTTGGTGGACACCGCCAAGCAGTCAACCGAAGGTTGGAACAACACTTGCCGTACGATCGTCGTTAGTTGCCCCTTTTCCTTTTCTGCGCTAAGCTTAGATAACATATCCGCCCGGGCGTTTTCCTCCCTCGGGATATGTTGGATTTTGATCCGGTCGAACGTCCTTGCCAGCTCTGTTGCGCGATGGAAGTATCGCATTAAGTGTTCTTCCTTCACCTGGAAGTCACCATTCATCTGGCCGACGACCAGTTGGGAGTCCGTCCGACATGTGACTTTTTTCGCCCTCATGTCCTTCGCCAACTCTAGGCCGGCTACCAAGCCTTCATACTCTGCTTGGTTATTGGAGACCTTGAACTTAAATATCAAGGAGTGCTCCAATAGGAATCCGTCAGGTCCCTCCAACACGATGCCGGCTCCACTGACTGTTCGGCCGGACGCCCCATCCACGTATAAATTCCACTCGCTCTGGACGGAGGGAGGTAGCTCGGCTGCGAAGTCAGCGAGGTGCTGACCCTTGACCGACCCTCTCGGTTCGTAGCGCAAGCCGAACTCGGACAATTCTACCGCCCATGCCACCATGCGTCTCGCCAGGTCCGGCTTCCTTAGGATTCTTGAAATTGGGAAATCGGTTCGGACGACGATTTGGTGGCTTTGGAAATACGGCCGGAGGCGCCTTGACGCGTGTAATAAGGCGAGCGCCACCTTTTCGACTTCTTGATAGCGAGTTTCCCGGTCCATGAGTGTGTGGCTAGTGAAGTACACCAGCCTTGGTTGGGGCCTTCTTGCGTTAACACGGCGCTGATGGCCGATTCTGACACGCCCAGGAAGACATGCAGATCCTCCCCTAGCGCTGGACGGTTCATGACAGGCGGGTTAAGCAGGATATTCTTGACATCCTGGAAGGCGCGTTCGCACTCGGCGTCCCATATCGAGCCGGCTCCCTTCTTCATCCTTCGTAGGACGGGTCTAACCCGCTCGGCTAGCTTTGGGATGAATCGGGACAATGCCGTGAGCCGCCCAACGAGTCTCTGTACTTCTTTAAGGGTGGTCGGGCTCTGCATCTGCAATACTGCCTCGCACTTATCGGGATTAGCTTCGATCCCCCTAGACGTAAGCATGAAGCCTAAGAACTTCCCGGCGGCTACCCCGAACGTACATTTGGCCGGGTTCAAGCGCATCCCGAATTTTTTGACTTGGTGGAAAACTTCCTCCAGGTCTTTAATGTGGCCACCGTCGTCCGCCGATCGGACGACCATGTCGTCGACATAGACGTCCATGCATCTGCCAATTTGTTCTCGGAAGATTCGGTCCATCAATCGCTGGTAAGTGGCTCCGGCGTTCTTTAGGCCAAAGGGCATTACTTCGTAGCAGAAGTTAGCCCGCTCTGTCATGAAGGTCGTCTTCTCCCGGTCCGGCCCGTACATTGGTATCTGGTTATACCCGTAGTAAGCGTCCAAGAAGCTCAGTATCCTGTGTCCGGACATGCCGTCTACCAATGCGTCAATGCTAGGCAGGGGATGAGAGTCTTTTGGGCAGGCTTTGTTTAGATCGGTGTAATCCGTGCACATTCGCCACTTCCCGCTGGCCTTTTTTACCATTACCACATTGGCCAGCCACGTGGTATAGGTGACCTCTCTAACAAAGCCGGCCGTCTTTAGCTTCTCTACCTCCTCCTCCACCACCTTTCTCTTCTCATCTCCCATCCTTCGCTTCCTTTGCGCCACCGAACGGGCCTCCTTAAACAATGCTAGTTTATGAGACATGACTGATGGGTGAATCCCCGGCATGTCGGCCGCCGTCCACGCGAACAGGTCTCGGTTCTTCCACAGGAGCGACCTCAACTCTTCTTCAGTATCGGGCTCTAATCCTCTCGCCATGGTAGTCGTCTGGGAAGGCTCCTTCCCTATTAGGATCAGCTGGGTTTTTCCAATAGGTTCCAGCCGGTCTTCCGCGTTCGTTCTTGGGTCGAGGTCGGCCATGGCGACCTCGGAACCGGTGGCCCTCCTCTTCCCTTGATGGGTCCCTGTTATATTTGAAGTCTTAATTAGATCCTTATTTTTGTTAATTTGATGCAAATAAAACCTTTCCGTCAATTTCATAAAACAGCGTTAAGGAGTGTGTGACGTGGCGTGTGTGAATCCAATTTTTTAATACTCAGATATTTTGAATGAAGTAAATATAGTATAATCCATGCTGAAATTAATTAAATAGAGGGCAAATTTGGAAAAACTTAATGTTTTGTTTGCTGAAACATCTCTGGAAGGGAGAAATCAAAATCAAGTGCAGACCCTTTTAATTGACAAATGTAATTGAGATTGGGGAAAAAATTAGGGGTAGGGTTCGTGTGAGGAACAAATTAGCTTTGGAAGTTGGAAGAAGGCTTTCCTGCCTGCACCGCGAATTGGATTCTGTGTGTTTTTTATTCACATGTTGATGGAGACGAAGGAGAAAGTGGCAGTGCGATGGTGGTCGAGGCGATTTAGGCTTCAACAGCGGCGACGATAATGCTTGGTGATGGTGGAGAAGATTCTGGGTTGGTTTCTGGTGGTGCGCCTCTTGTGGTTTTCTGCTTGCAGGTTGACGATGAAGACGTGAGGGAGATGGTTGCGCCACGGCGGAGGTTCGGCGAGAGACTGGCATTTCTGTTCTTCTCTGGATTTTGCTTTGCAGGTCCAGTGATGTAGATGACGAACTCACAATGTTTATCACTTTGCAGGTCCACCCTCTATCGCTCGTCCAACTACCTCCCTGTTCCCGACCGTTCGGTCTGGTCGTCCTCCCTCGTCTACCACTCGGTCACATAGCTCCACACCTTCTACCGTTCGGTCTGGTCGTCCTCCCTCGTCTACCGCTCGTCCAACTACCTCCCTGCTCACGACCGTTCGGTCTGGTAGTCCACCCTCCTCTATCGCTCGTCCAACTACCTCCCTGTTCCCAACCGTTCGGTCTGGTCGTCCTCCCTCTACCGTTCGGTCACATAGTTCCCCACCTTCTACCGTTCGGCCCCCTCTCTCTCCCTCCTACACCTTCTCTTGTACACTTTCCAGTCCCTAACATGTGACTCCTGCCTTCCAGTACCTTTGATTCGATACGTTCGGACCTCACTTCCCTCCTACCTTCTCTCCTTCTCATCTACCTCCCACCTTATACCCGAACATATACAGTATCATGATATAAGACCTTGCAAAAATTTCTAAACAATAACTGTGTCCACCAAACATATAAAAAATAGTACTTATATGCTTTAGTAATACAACAATGGAAATACAGTTCCCTGGCATTGTAATATATACAGACGTCAAAAGAAGGAATTCTAATATAATATCCACAACATTGTAATAACATCCAAACACATAAAAAGTTGGCAATCATTGCCTTTCATTTAAATTACATAGCAGTTAAAACCATAAACATTGTTCCTGAGACATTTATAATAAGATCCTTAAACTTGGCATCATTGTCATTTATACACACATACTATAGTTGAGCTTCCTGGTCATTCATACACACTTTCAGATAACTGTGATAAGATGGCAATGATTGGTTTCTTGGGGTTGCCTTTGGGGGACCACCACCGATATTGTAGTTTCTCATCATAATGACCCACACCTGACCCTATCGAGACACAACCCCTGCATGCCGCTTCCAACTACTTTCTACTTCACGACGAACTTGCCGCTTCGCCGAACAAAGATCGCGATTTTCTTCCCTCACGCAAACCTAATAATAAAACCCCCAATTTGTTGTCCCCCAATCTCATTGCATCCTCAATAAAAACGTCTTAGATAGAACATGTTGAACGGAATTCTGCATTTGATTCCCCTTGGGCATCCACTCGAACAGCATCCACTCTTTCCCAACTCTGAGACGACACGAGTCCTAGATAGAAAATCTCTCAACTTGATTTTGATTTCTCCCTTCCAGAGATGTTTCAGCAAACAAAACATTATGTTTTTTCCAAATTTGCCCTCTGTTTAATTAATTTCAGCATGGATTATACTATATTACTTCATTCAAAATATCTGAGTATTAAAAAATTGCATTCACTACGCACGTCACGCACTGCTTAACGCCGTTTTCTGAAATTGACGGAAAGATTTATTTGCATCAATTAACAAAAATAAGAGATCTATTAAGACTTCAAATATAACAGGAACCTATTTCAAATTTCAGACGAAAATAGGGACCTGTATCGAGACATTAAACCAATAGATACCAAACATAACCCTGGTAGATCTTACCGCGTTTCATCTCCATTTTCAAAATCAGTTCACCCTAGTAAGCATATACTTTCACCAGTCACAGGCTAAAACTCAAGAACTTTGAAACAAAAGGAAAGACAGGAAGAGAGGAGTGAGAGTGAAAGAAGAAGCAATGGCGACGCGTACGATCTCGCAGGAAGCTTTCGAAGAACTTGTGAAAGAAAACGTCGACGACCTCGGCATGGACCCCACCGAGGCCCTCCAAGACGCCATCCAGACCCTCACTCTTCAAGGCGTCGATCTCTCAGGTTCCTCTCTCTCTTCTCACCTTCTCACCTTCTTCTCCCTCTCTCAATCCCTCAACGACGTCGTTTCGCAGGCATCGTCACCTCCGTCCCCGGCGACACCAACCCCGTCATCGACTGCTTGGACCGCTTGAAGCACCTCCAATCCGAACCCGACGATCACGAAAGTCGCCATAGCGGTCAACACGCTCCATGAATTGTGTTCGAATCCAAATCCAAATGCAAATTCTAATTCGGCAATTGCGACCAGAAACAGTGCCGTCGAGTTAACTTGTTCGCTCTGTTCCAAAATCCCCCGCGCCACTGGATCTCGCGAGCTCCTTCTCTCTGCTTTAAACGCATTGTCGTCGTTGCTTCACGGTTGACTACTCGTTTATCAACCGTTGCCATTTCGCCACTGTTTTGAATTTCTCCTTTTGAATGCTGATTCTCTCTGTCGTTTCAGATGTTCAGAGTACGGGCACGTTTCAGCGGTGTGACGGACCGACGATTGTGATTGGTTTTCTGGCTGATAATAAGCAGGATGTGGAGGTCTTGAGCAGTGGATTTCGCGTCGTGGCTTCTGCGGCGACCGGCGATGAGATCGTGAAGGAGTCCTTTATGGAGTTGAAGGTTGATGAGCTGGTTTTGGAGATCTTGTCGTTGCATAAGAACAGGGGGATCCAGAGTTTGTATGACGCAGTTCGCGCGCTTTTGACTCCGGATGACAATCGAATCGTGGCTTCGCAGGTGAGTTCGGCTGCTTGATGATATGTTAGATTATGTTTCGTTTACCGTTTGGTCACTTCCAAGTTACGTTTTGTCCCGAAAACTCAGTTTGGTTGTATGTTTGATTTTCCTTAAAAGTACCTTAGATACTACATTGGCCTGAACCAGGTCAGGTTCAATTGAAAGTAAGATTCGAGGTTGACTTTGCAAACTCACCTCGGCCAAAATGAAACCTTCTCAATCTAAGTTTCCATACTTTAATCCAAACATGCACTTAGTGTGCTTATTATACTTGAGAAAGATATTTGAGAGTGTGTGTTTCCCTCTCTTAAGATTCTCATTTATAATAACTTTGGATACATGGGACACAATGTATATGAGGGAAAAGAAGAAAATTCCAAAAGATACATCTAAGAACTAGGTCCAAGACAAAACATACAACACCTTACAATAAATCCTATTAAAGACTATTTATTCTAACAATTATTATGGATGTTAAAGAAATTTGGTAAAATTTATCCATGGACACTTGTGGTAGAGAAAGAAAATGTAGACATGTTAAGTAATATGATGTGATGAGGAATATGATATGGTACGAGGATAGATATCGAGAAATGAAAGATGTCAATTTTGTGTTTGTACTTTAACAGGTGTCCATGCATAATTACAAGAATTTGATTTATCTTAAGAGTCATATATATTTAGCATTTGTCCTGCAGGATGTGTCCATATATCATTAGTCTTGTTTGGGTATCGGAAACAATTCTTCTTTTTCATGAATTCACAGGTAATTATGAAAGAAATTTAAATGTTTATTACACTGTCATCTAATCACATAGTTCATGTATAATAAGTTTGTTGACTTTTTTTTTTAATAATTATCTTGAAAGTCATAGGTAACTCTAATTGATTACGACAAGAAAGCCTTACGAAACACAGATCACAACTGCCATTCAGCTCAGTTAGAGATCGAGGTTTCAGAGTTTGTTTGACAATCTTGAAATGTTTATATTGGCAGTGTGTGAAAACTAAAAACCTTAAAAAAAGTTTCAGTTACTTAGTATTAACTTAGGAGAGAGGGGGGACGAGGAGAAGGCAAGAGGTAGGAGAAATGAGACTCACGAGAGAGTTGGGTTTCTAAAAAGGGATAAGGCAGCAGGGACGGGATTTGGTG